TGACATCAAGAACATCACACAGGAAGAAAGCAAAAGGTCATTAAGAAGACAAGCAAGAAGGAAAAGACCAAATGGATGTGAGAAGAGACTCTGAAACTTGTTCTCCTGGGTAGAGATGAAAAATGGAAGAAATGAACAGAAATTTTAAATGGGTTGCTTGAGAAGACAAAGTCAAGTATTATAATGAAATGTGCAAAGATCTGGAGTTAGAACACCAAAAAGGAAGAACACGTTCAGCATTTCTCAAACTGAAAGAAATGAGGAAAAAAATTCAAGGCTCGACTTGAAATATTGAAGGATTCTATGGACATAATATTGACAGATACAGAAAACATCAAAAGATGGAAGGAATGCACTACACCAAATAGAAAGTGTCAGTGTTCAACCACTACAAGATAGCATATGATCAGAGCCAATAATACTGAAGGAAGAAGTCCAAGGTGTACTGGAGGCATTGGTAAAGAACAAGGCTCCAGGAATTGATGGAATACAAATAGAAATCTCTCAACAAATTGATACAGAACTAGAGGCACTCACTCATTTATGCCAAGAAATTTGAAAGATAACTACCTGGTCAACTGATTGGAAGAGATGCATATTTGTGCCCATTCCAAAGAAAGGTGACCCAATGGAATGTGGAAATAATTGGACAATATCATTAATATCACATGACTTAAAATTTTGTTAAAGGTAATTCAAAATTAGCTACAACAGTATTTGATAGGGAACTGCCAGAGGTTCAAGCTGTATTCAGATGAGAATGTGGAACGAAGGACATCACTGATGATGTAAGATGGATCTTGGCTGAAAGCAGAGAATACCAGAAAAAAAGTTTATCTGTGCGTTATTGACTGTACAAAGGCTTTCGACTATGTGGGTCAATGAAAGCTATGGACAACAATGCAGAGAATGAGTGTTCCAGAACACTTAATTGTACTTAGGAGGAACCTGTACATAAACCAAGAGGCAATTGTTCCAGTAGAACAAGGGGACACTGAATGACTTAAAATTAGGAAAGGTGTGTGCCACAGTTGTATTTTCACCATATTTATTTAATCTTTATGCCGAGCAAATAAACCGAGAAGATAGATTATATGAAGAAGAATGTGGCATCAGGATTGGAGGAAGATTAATTAACAATGTGAAAAATGCAGATGATGCAACCAGAGGATTTAAAATGCTTACTGGTGAAGAGCAAAGACTTACTGGTGAAAGCCTTCATATGGGTTACACCTCAATGTAAAGAAAACAAGCATCCTCACCACTGGACCAATAAATAACATCAATGTAAATGGAGAAAATATTGAAGTTGTCAAAGATTTCATTTTGCTTGGATCCACCATCCATACTCATGGAAGCAGCAGTCAAGAAGTCAAATGACATACCGCATTAAGCCAATCTGCTGTACAAGATTCTTTAAAGTATTCAACAGCAATGATGCCAATTTGAGGACTAAAGTGTGCCTGACCCAAGCCATGGTGTTTTCAGTAGCCTCCTATTCATGTGAAAGTTGGACAATGAATAAGGAAGACTGTAGAAGAATTGATGCATTAGAGTATGGTTTTGAAGTAAAGTGTTAAAGATACCATGGGCTGCCAGAAGAACAAACAAATCTATGTTGTTTAAGTACAACCAGAATGTTCCTTAGAAGGCAAGGTGGCCAGACTTTGTGTCTCATACTTTGGATATATGATTAAGAGAGACCAGTTCCTGGAAAGGACATCAAACTTGGTAAAATGGAGGGTCAAGTGAAAAAGAGGAAGACCCCACCATGAGATGGAATGGCACAGTGGCAGCAGAAATGGGAAGGAAAAAAAAGGGGGGGAAATTTTTTTTTAAGTAAACAAGTATAAATCACTACAATCTGATGAACTTGATCTATACTTATGGATGTTGTAGCTTAAAATACCAACCAAGAGAGAAGGAATCTTTACAGCAAGGGTCATTCCCACCCCCTCTGTATGCAAGGTTGATAGGGATGGGCAACTTAGACATTGGCTACCTAAAATGGGGGGGGGGGTATAAAGGCATGAAGTGATTGATTGGCTTTCAAATTTTCAAGAGGGAGTTTAGATTCAGAGTGATTCAACAGTGAATAATTGTTATCATGACTAATTGCGATTGTCACAACTGTAAAAGTAGAAGTTTTGTAGCAAAAAGGGGTGAGTGGTCAATCTTACAGTCTGGGAGCAGAGGACCCTGGGACCATCAAGGGAGAAGAACGGGAACAGAGTGTGGGACCCTACCCAAAGAAGCGGCAGTGTCAGAGATGGAGGCAGCGATGATGACATGGAGAGAGAGAGCAACTGAGGATTCTAGACTCATGGAGAGAGAGGGGATATGTGCTGGCAGCCAAGGGGCAGGGTGTGCTCTTTGGCTGTTTGAATGATTGTATATTCCTGAGTGTTTTGGTGCACATTCAAAAAAAAAAGAGGAACTAGAAGCAATACTATTAAATGATGAAGCATGCAGGGAATTGTAATTATTGCAATGAAACAAACTGATGTTCCCCCATGTAAACTATCACTCACTTCACAATAAAAACTTTAATAATAATAAGAAAAAGAAAAAAGCAAGTCTAGTCCAGTCTCCCAGAGCCTTCTTCAAGGGTTTCCTCTTGCCTTTGAATAGGGTAAGGTCCCTGGGTGACACAAGTGATTTGTAATCGGCTATTCATGTAGTGGTTATGAATCGGGCTGTGAACTGCAAGGTCAGCAGTTCGAAACTACCAGCTGTTCCGCAGGAGAAAGATGAGGCTTTTTGCTCCTGTAAAGATTTACAGCCTCGGAAACCCTGTACAGGGTTGCTATGAGTCGGAACCGACTCCACGGCACATAACAACAACAACAAATTCACCTAAAGGCAGGCAGTTTGGCAGTAGCAATGGACTCAAGCGTAACAATTGTGAGAATGGAACAGAAGTGGGAATGAGTCCGAGTCAACTCCGTGACACCTAATAACAACAAACAGTACCTAACAATAACAACAGCAAGTGGGGCCATGGAACAAAGGTCTGGATCAATTCTAGTCTCTAACACACAGTCACCATGAGCCAGGCTGAGTCTAGGGCAGTGGGTTGGGTTTTGTCTTTTGGTTGGGAAGGGTATGGACTTACCTGCTCCTCGTTGGAGTTGATGACGACCAGGTGGGCATTCTCCAGCTGACAGTACTTGTTAGCCTCAGCCCAGGTTACTCCAGAGTGAGAGAACCAGTAACAATTGCCTTCATACTCCATCCAGTTAACAGGACAGCATTCTGTGCCTGAGGGTCAGGGTGCAGAGAGCCATGAGATCCGATGGAGGGGACAGGCACAAAGCACTGGGCGCATCCTTCTCTCCCAGTTCCTACCGTTGGTCCGGAGAAATGCTGTCTGACATGCCAGAACTTGCAGATCCATTGGAAAGTGTTTCAGATGAAGTTTCAAGTTGGCATGATCTAGAAGGACAGATGGATGGACAGCGTTGTAGACAGAGACACTATGGCTTCCCACTGACCAGGACTAGGAACATCAGCACAGTTTTTGGCTGGGGACATATACACATACTCCAGGGAGAGGGACACACACACATAATCCAGAAAGGGGTATCTTACCTGATTTCAGGTCCTGGTTCTGTTTCTCCAGCTTGGCTTGCAGAAATGTTACGCTGTCACTTGTATTGCTTCCTGAGAGAAAGGCTAAATTGTCTTTCTCCAGTCCTTATGCCTTAACATCCCTCCATGCTCAGTGCTAATGGGACACCAATTCTAGCCACTATCATCTTTCCTGGAACATTTTGAGATACCATCCATTCTCTCTACATGGTCAAAGTGGTTTCTCTTAAGCACTGAAAACTCACTCCCCTACTTAAGTACCTCCAATGGAGCCCCATTTTCTCAAAATCAAACCTTACTTAATTAACATAGCTTTCTTGATTGGCCAGACCTCAACACACTTCTCAGACCCATCACTCATCCCACCAGTAATCAGCTCTGGTCCCACTGGAATTGACAGTTCACAATATGGGGAGTGTTTTTTCCCAGTTTCTGGTGGATACAGACTCTATTCTCTTCATTTGGCATTTAACCTCCCTCCTTTTCACCTGCCTAACTCCTATTCATCCTTCAAGACCCCTCAGCTCAAGATCTGCATCCCTGGGAGCCTTGCCTATGTCTACATTCCCAGCACCCTTAACTTGCTTTGAGAACCCCAGATCAGACATCTACACTGTGCCCAGTAGATCTGGGTGACTAAACAAGTCCCTGAACCATCCCTGCCTTACTGCTTTCAATAGAGAGCCAACTCACCATGGGAATTGAGACGCCAGACTTCCATTAGGATGGTCGATGAAAAGTTGTTTAAAGTTTCTTTCAGGGTCCGCAGCTCCATTTGCAGCTGTGTGCCTTGTCAGGAGACAGTGGGAACAGGACAAGATGAAGGGAACTGTGTCCCTATGACAGTCCCACCACTGGATAAGAAACTGTCCCCCTCATCATGTAGTTGTTATTGTTGGTGTTACCTTGCATTAAGTGAACTGCTGGCTCATGGTGTCTCTATGCACCACCATATGGGAATGTTGTGTTCCTTAAGATTTTCATGAGCTGATTTTCAGAAGTAGATCACTAGATCTTTCTTTCTAGTCCAGTTCAGTTCAGTGGAAACTCCACTGAAACCTGTTTGGCAGCATAGTAACATGCAAACTTCCACAGACAGAGGGATGGTGACTACATGTGTGGTGCAGTGGCCAGGAATCAAACCCAGGACTCCTGCATAGAAGGTGAGAATTCTACCACTGAGCCACCACTGCCCCCTCCTCCTCATTAGCCCACTGTCTCCCCATCATTGGTCCCACTTGGTCCCCATCACTACCTCAAACTATCCTCATTCCTGCCTCCATTGCTTCCTTTGTCAGTACCCTCCATCCCTTCTCAGTCACGTCCCTCTAATCTACTATTCACGCCAACATCATTGCCCCATCGCAGCCCCTTAGTGCCTCCAGCTCTTCCCCTGCCAGCCTTCCCATCACTGCCCCATTGTAATACTCACTTTTGGATCCAATCACACAGATGACCACTAGCAGCAGGACATTGAAGCCCAGGGCAAGCAGACTGAGGCGGGGCTGGGAGCAGAGATGTTGTAGGAAGGATTGCGGGGAAGGCGTCCTTGCTAAGGAAGGGATGATGTCAGAAGGGAGAGGACAAGGGAGCACAGCAAAAGCAGAAGGGAACACCCCCTCCACACACAAAGTAGACAGAGATGGGCAACTTGGACATTGGATAGCCAAATTGGGGGCGGGGGGACTACAAAGGCAAGAAGTGACTGGCTTATAAGCTTTCAAGAGGGAACCTAGAGCTAGGGGGCATGGAGGAAGGCAGAATCTCCAGTGAGTACTAGCCAATCTGTCTGGGTGGAGCTGATGAAAGGAAATACAGATGGGTAACTTGTGATACTGTAGTGAATAATGGTTATCAGGACTGATTATGAGGGTTGGAAATGCAAAGGTAGACGTTTTGTAGCAAGGAAGGGAGTGATTAATTCTCCAGTCTAGGAGCGGAGGTCTCTAGGACCTTCAACTGAGAAGAGCCGAGAGCGGTACCCTACCCAGAGAAGCAGAGATGTCTGAGATAGAGACAGAGATGATGACGGGGAGTGATGAAGCGGCTGGGGACTTTAGATCCAGAGAGGGAGAGGGACTGTGTGCTGAAGACTGGGGGGGAGGGGGGCGTGTAGGGGGCGGGTTTGTAGGGTTGATGATGCATGGAGGGGATTGGAACCATGGCAATGAAATGATATATGATGGAATGAATGTAAAACTAAAGTTCTCTCATGTAAACTAACATACAATTCACAATAAAATATTAAAAAAAAAAAAAGCAGAAAGGGAACAGAAGTATGAGGAAGCATGACCCAGGGTAAGGTAAGGGACACTCGATGGGGGAAAGGTTGTTACGGGATTCAATGGGCTTTGACCACTTGCATCAAGGCTTTGCACACACATGTATGACCAGACACATTTGCAACACACATCTACACACTTGTACTCACATGAACATTTACAAACATGCACATACACCTACACAGGTGTACACAACACACACATGCACATGAACACACAATGTGAATATCCTTTGTGTGCAAATCCCCACTCTTAGAGCTTGGGAACAGGGACACACCAAAATGGCTGGGGGATCGACCTGGTCCATGAGAAAAAAGGTCTCTCAGTGGGTTTCCCCTCCTGCCCAGCCAGGGGGAGGAGCCCCAGATCATATCTATTCTTCTGTTCTCCTGTACTCCTCATAGACTCCACACCTTGGCCCCTTAAGCAAGTCCAGAACTGGGGCAACACTTCACTTTCAAAGTCCACTGGGATCCTCAAGTCCAGTTAGTTTCATCATGGACCACTCCTCTAGGGCCACCCCTAGACGCCATTGTCCTCTCCATCTCCCACCACTCAGATCTTCCTCTCCTTAACTCTCTGCCCTGTTCTCCCAGAAACCCTAGTTCCAGTGTTAACTCCTTCCTTTTAAGTCTCAGCCACCCCACAGAAAGCTCCGCTTCCCTCAAACTGAACCCTACCCCCCAACGTACATTCACACACACACACACACACACACATTCTTAGACACATTTTCATACAATCTCACAAAAACATATACACACACTCATTCTTACAGTGTCATGTTCTCACACACATCAGCACAGACTCACGCCTGTATTACCATACTTTCTTTCATGTACACTCACACATATATTGTTGCACACATTCATACACTCTCTCACATAGCCCTTAATACACACATTCCCATATACACTCACACACATTCTCTATCCACAGTTACACCCACACATTACACACAAGTACGTCACCCTTCCTGATGCCTCTCCAGGCCTGGAGGAGGACGGCATTCCTGGCCTTGAGTTCCTGCGTTTGCACAGTCTACTTAACAGACAGAACACTTTTTCTTCTTCACCTCAGATCATAATTCTGTGGACTTTTGCCCCTCTTCATAACTATCACATTCAGGCACCCCAATGACCTGAATGAGGTGAAGCAGAACCCAGAGTCCTCCTTCTCAGTTCATCACCTGCTACCATCCTGTGTTGGATATTATCGCTGAAAGAAGCCACCCATAACCTTGATCTCCTCACTCCTCACTAATTGTCACCTGCCTCCACTTTAGCCTCACCCAGGACCCCGTCTTGGCTCCAGAGGTCCCACCTCTGATGTTGCTGTTGTTGTTAAGTGCCGTCGAGTCAATTCCAACCCATAGTGATCCTGTATAGGGTTTTCAAGGAGTAGCTGGTGAGCTTGAACCACCGACATTGCAGTTCAAACAACTTTGCAGTCTGACGCTTTAGCCCATAGCGCCACACCAGGACTCCCACCTCTGAAGTGCTGGCTGCCAATTCTGAGCCCAGCCCCACACCACTCTCTCACAGACTTCACCACCAGATACAATTCTGTGGCTGAGGCCTGTCCGTTCAGCAGGTCTTTGTTCAGTTGCCCAGCCTGACCTGTAAAACCCCTAGTTCTAAGGCAGCTCAACCACAGGCCTCTGTGTTTCTACCCTGAAACCAGACAGCTCACAGATATATTCCAGTCTGCCACCAACTAGCTTTGAGGCCACGCAAAGTCATTCAACTTCTTGGTGTTCCAATTTCTCATGTGTAAAATGGGGGCAATACCTACTTCACTTGCTATTCTGAGAACTGCATGACTTAAAACATGTAAAGTGCTGCTTATATAAGTTTAAAAGTAAAAGAAAAGGTCTGTCTCAGATAGAGAAATGGACCAGACTTGCCCTCCCAAGAAAAACAAAAGTAGACAAAAAATAAGAAGCAACAGTTGCCCCTTCCAAGACAAAGATTCAATGGGAATACACGCTGATTGCTGACCACGTTCGTCACCAATAAGGGGAAGTAAGGGAAAAACAACAATGAGGCTGTGAGCTAAGCCCTACAATGTTCAATAGATTCCTGTGAACCTGGGTGGAGATCTGGTTGGCCAGCAGTGTGGCATGACTTGGGGACTCTTGGGTCCAGAGTCAGTGACATAACCACAGAAGACTAGAGTGGAGAGTGAAGCATCCAGCTGGTAAGAAGAGAAGGCATATACACAAGAACACCCACACTCGCAGATAACACTCACTTGACCTGGCTTCAATGACTGGATGATCAGAGCTCAACCAGAAGAAGAAAGAAGAGGTAAAAAAGAGTAATCTGATACAATTTGATGAACTTGACCTACACCTATGGATGCAGTAGCTCAAAAGAGGGAGCAAATCTTTACAGCAAGTATCATTCCCACCCCCTCCATACACAGAGTAGACAGGGATGGGCAACTTGGACATTGGCTACCCAAAGTCGGGGGGGGGGGCTATAAAGGCAAGAAGTGACTGGTTTACAAGCTTTCAAGAGGGAACCTAGATCCAGAAGGCATGGAGAAATGTAGAATCTCCACTGAGTAGTATTCAATCTGTCTAGGCGGGGCTGATGAAATGAAATGCAGATGGGTCTCTTATGATACAATAGTGAATAATTGTTATCAGGACTGATTGTAAGGGTTGGAAATGTAAAAGTAGACATTTTGTAGCAAGGAGGGGAGTGATTAACTTTGTAATCTAGGAGCAGAGGTCCCTGGGACCATCAAGGGAGAAGAGCGGAGAGCGGGATCCTACCCAGAGAAGCAGTGACACCAGAGATGGAGGCAGAGAAGTGGAGAGATGGAGCAGCTGGGGACTTTAGACCCAGAGAGGGAGAGGGCTGTGTGCTGACAACTGAGAGGCAGGCTTGCAGTATATACCCTCTGGTTGGTTGATGATGCATGGAGGGGATTGTAACTATGGCAATGAAATGATATATGATAGGACAAATTTAAAACTAATGTTCTCCCATGTAAACTATCACATAATTCACAATAAAACATAAAAAGAAAGAAACAACAGTTGTCAAGACACTGGGTATCAGTCAACAAAGGACAGCATTTCCTGAGAGTTGGGAAACAAACAAGGTGAACACTATGACTGTCCCAACTTACCACTTGGAAAAAATTTCAGGCCACAGGTCAGGGAGAGTGAATGTCCCTGGGCTGAGGAGACAGAGAGGAGAATCTGGGGAGACCAATGTGGCTTGAGTTCACAGGACAGAATACAAGAGAGGACAAACTGCACACAAAGAGAACCTTGGAGATCTTCAGCGAGTTCCCTTCAGCAACTAGCTGAGTACTGAGCACCAGATATAAGGAAATTATCTACCAAAACCAAAAACCAAACAGACTACCATGAGGTCGATTCTGATTCACAGTGACCGTATATAGAGTTTCGGAGAATGTAAATCTTTGCAGGAGCAGACAGCCTCATCATTCTCCCGTATTAGCAGCTCAATGCTTATCCTAAAGCCTTTCTCACCTTGAAGGCTTTGCCAAGACACTTGGCCATTCAGTCAAGATTAGTTAGAGAAAAGAGTGGAGAAGGACCAGGAATCTTCCTATATCCATTCACCCACCCACCCATACTTCTCTCTTGTCTGAATTCCTTGCAAACACATACATTCATACTCCGTGCACCCACCCTTTCCTGGGGTCCTGGAGGGGAGAGGAAAATGGGGGTGGAGCAAACTGAGGTCTCAGGCACGTCACACCTCGATAGACTTGGTCCCTGTTTATAGAATGACTATGACCAACGACTCAGAGAGCAGAACACAATCAGGAGAGGAGGCAGAGGTGGCACGAAGCCCCAGACACTGGACACTTGCCTTTCCCAAACGGATCTTCTCTTCTAGGACTTTGCCCACCAAGTTCTGGTCTTTCACCTCTACCCGGTTGGTGGTCACTTTCCTCACAGTCCAGCTGCTGGATATCTTGAAAGTCCTTTGCCATGATGGGCCCAGAACTGGAGCCAGACCTGTGCTGGGTTCGGATTATTTTGGAAACTGAGATTGGGGCTGGAGCTTGTGGAGGCTGGTGACAGGGTTAAATCTAGTTTGAGGTGGTGGCTTGGTTCAGATATGTTTGGAAGTGACTTTGGGGTTGAAGTTTGAAATATAGCGGTGGCATTTTCTCCTGTTAGGAGGTTGCTTTGGGCCTTGGCAGGGGCCATGAGCCTTCCCCACTTATTCTCATGGACCAAAGAGCCCAATCTTCCCATTCAGCCTCTGCTGTCCTTGAACCAGGGTCTCCTCAATCTCAATTATCTCCAGCCCCACCTGCCTCTCTATCCTAGATTACCTGCTAAAGGTGTGAATCCTGGATCCTTCAGGCAGCCCAGGTTCTGGGATGAAGGGGGTTAAAGGACTCCTAGAAGACTGGAGTAGTTGGGGTTAGACAGGAGTGGAGAGGAGGGGGCTGGCCCAGGCAGGGCCTAGTGTATTTGAGTTTTTCACTTTGTACCTCCTGCCCCTGGAACTTTGGACAGTAAACAAAAGCAGATATGGAGTTGGAACTCAGGCAAAGGGTAGTGGGGGTAGGGAATGGGATCATTTCAGTCCTCTTTCCCAAAGAAGAGTGTCTCAAAGATAGTCATGCTAGTCACCACACTCCAATTACTTGATTTGTGATTTGGGGGGTGGGGGTGTGGGAAGCCTGAAATGCTATTTGCTATTTCCCCTCCTCCACACCCTCTCACTTCTTGCCTCTGAATTGGTAGTGTCTCAAAACACCCTAACTAGGATCAGAGGCACTATTAACAGTAACACAATGCCTTTTAAGCAAAAGTTTTCTCTTTCTCTTTCCCTACTCACCAGTCCCTCCTCAGAAGCCCTATACAGGGTTACTAAGAGCCAAAACGACTCAATGGCACTTAACAACAACAACACTCTCTGGTGTGTTTGAGCCCACTAGCAGTTCCGTACAAAAGATGAGGCTTTCTGCTGCCACCAAGATTTACAGCCTCAGAAACCCTTTACAGGGTCTTTAGAAGTTGGAATCAACTTGACAACACTCAACAACATATATAAATATTACTCAGCCATATATTGTTGTTGTTGTTATGTGCCATGGAGTCAGTTCCGACTCATAGCGACCCTGTACAGGGTTTCCGAGGCTGTAAATCTTTACGGGAGCAGAAAGCCTCAT